ATCTCTGACTCTTCACCTATCTTGATAGTATCATGGCAGAATTTCTCCAACCTTTAAGGAACTGAAATGAGTCATGCTATTTAATAGAGAAAAAAAGAGGAAAATCTTCTCATTTCATTTTAAAAACTCTCGTAAATCTCTGATACCAGTATCTTGAGCAAAGTACAAAAAAGAACTATAGACTAATAGATTTTCAAGATTAAATGGTTGCAAATTGAATCCAGTAATGTATTACAATTTTAACACAGCATAATCGATTATGGTATACTTATGAATGCAATTTGATATTTGGAAACTCATATTATGATGACTTTACTTGATCAAGAGAGAAAAATCACATCTTTAGGCCATTACCCGGGGGAAGGCATTTCAAAATTGGCCCCACTAAGAAATAAATACTATTTGGAAAAATCATAATATCCAAGGTGTGTTCATAGAGTATTATCTCAGCTATGTTGAAAAAAGGACAATGTATAGAAAAACTAAAATGGACTTTGGCCAAGTGACTGTAATAGATTCCCCTAGGTAGTTGGGAAATAAAAAGCTAAAAATGGTGGTTGGCTGCCAGTTCAAAAAACAAAAAGCCTATTCAAACTTCATATAACATAGTATCAGCAGAAATTCTGGGACATAGCTACAAGATGTAACATGGTGCTAGAGAGAGAACTGAAAAGAAAAGAAGGTTCGTCCTTGCTTAATGGATCATGCTCCAAGAAAACATGTAAGATATATTAAATTTATATTTGGGAATCCGTCATACCCATGCTACATCCTTCTTTCACATTCTAGTGTTACTCTCTCCTGATTTCTAAGTACTTATGATCATTGCAGCACAGGGTCTGTGCAAAACCTTGAAGTGTTTCCTGATGGAAAATTAGCATTCTTTTTCTACCAGCCCTCAAATCAAAATGTTCATTTCTCAGAGAGTCATAATAGATTTGAACAAGTTGCTTTAAAAAAGCAATGTGGTGAACCTGATTAATATTATATGTGATTAATTAATGTTTAATCCTGTAAGAATTCTTTTTAAGAGAAATATTAATTATGCAAACCATGTTCCTAATTTTTAAAATTTCATATTATATTAAAATCTTTTGGTGGCAAGGAAATTATCATTCTTGTCTAGGAGATTCATTCATCAGTTCTTCTAAATGTTTTTCACTCATTAATTTCCTACTATTAAGACCACAGCATATGTAATTTTTATTATTTATAGTAATATATAATGTATCAGGTCAGCAGGCCAGGGACACAATTTATTGTTTGTAATTTGAGTGTTGTCACTATATTCAAGTCTGTTTTTCACATGTTCCATCTTCCTGCTGATTGCGTTTTTTAAAATTGAGGCTAGGGTTTTGGTCATCCAACATGAAGTGCCTTGAACGTAGTAGAACACATAAACTAATTGCAGGAATGAAGAAATGATAAGCGGCCAATAGGAGAATAATTTTCAAAATTGTAATAATCCTTAAAATTATCTCAGAGATTACATTTGTTTTTGATTTTTACTATTTCTCTGCCTGTCTGTCCAATGAGGTAGTGAATCACTACCTCCGTTTTAAGCTGATAGTCTTCCACATGAAAGGGTCAAGAGATGATTTAATAGCCAAATTTGAGACGGTTACAGCCAAGGGGGAGAGGTATTGCCTGAGAGTGGAAAATGTGAAGCAAAATAAAAATTAATAAACTCTGCAGAGTATCAGGGTATTGTCTCTGCTGGAACTCAATCTGGAAATTGTTCTTCTGTCTGCCAAAGCTCCAAAGTCGTTCACTGTACCCCTTTCGTATCATACTCTAAATTATAGGGAGGAGAGCAAGACTATGGAAAGAACACCGGGGGAAGGCATTTGCACAGGAAAGACAGGGGGACTTCTGAGGACGTCTCATAATCGATTAAAATGCCTTAAACTCCAGTTTTGTTTATGCCTTTCCAGAAATAAAGAGGAAGATCAGTAGCCAGAGCTACTCTGATTTTGACTATACGGAAATTTTAATCTTAAGTCATTGCATTTGCAAATTATAGGCAGTTAGTAAAAACTCTATGACATTAAAAAAATCTATCATTTAAAGATGTCTTATATGGAATTGCCTACTGAAAAAGATTGAATTTATCTCAGAACCACATTGTACATTATCTGAAGTTTGTGTATGTTTTTTCTTAAACTATTCTTTTAGCTGTTTGTATTTCTAATTCTATTATGTGTTACCTCATGTCCTCAATTAAGTCACTCTGGCTTTTGTTTTTTTTGGGGGGGGGTTTTGGTGAGGAAGATTGGCCCTGAGCTAACATTTGCTGCCAATCTTCCTCTTATTGCTTGAGGAAGATTGTCCCTGAGCTAGCATCAGTGCCCATCCTCCTCTAGTTTTTGTATGTGGGATGCCACTGCAGCATGGCTTGATGAGCTGTGTGGAGGTCTGCGCCCAGGTTTGAACCCGCAAACCCCTAGCTGGTGAAGTGGAGCACGCGAACCCAACCACTGTGCCACCAGGCTGGCCCCAATTACACTGTGGCTTTTATAAAGTCTTTTATCGAACAATTCCTTCAGGTGATCCAAAATTGTGATCAACTCTTTTGCCCAAAGGGGACACCCCAGATTAGTAATGTCACATTTATCATGATGCCTAATAAGACTTGTTTCTTTCTGCGAATGCTTTATACCACATACATATTTACAAATTTTTATCTCATCCAGTTTCTAAACAGGGATAAGAATAGGTTCTCTATGAAGAATCACATTGCTTTCCACTCTTTAACACCAATAACTGATCACAATCATAGATAAACAGCATCACTAATGATGAATTATACCAATCTCTAAACTCTTCATGTTCAAACCCTATGTTTCCGGTCATGTAAGGTGAATCCATAACAAAGAGCTACCCAAGTGCTGATAAGAGATAAGTTCCTATAAATTTAAGGTGACTTGAGAAGCACAATTGAGCTATTTAGCAGATCCTTAATTGCTAGAAAGCAATAGACAATTTAACCATTTTCACCTAGAGGGAAAGGACTGGATGGCAAATTTGTCATGTATTATCAACGAGAGAGAGAGAGAGAGAGAGAGAGAGAGAGAGAGAGAGACCCAGCTTTTGCATACAGAATGAATATTTGTTTAAATATCAGGCTAGTGCCATGTGTAAAATATCTCTGAAATACTCTTGCTTCTAGACATCATCATGCATGTGGATAGCAAAATTAGCAAAAAAGCATATGTTCATCCATTTATTCACTTAGTCAGTCAGAGTATCGATTGCCTCTGTTGTGCCAGGCATAGTTCTGAGGTTTTAGGATACAGAGAAGAATGTGACAGAAAACCCCCTGTCTTCATAGAGACTACATTATTGTAGCAGGATGTAGGCAGACAACAAACAAGTAAAAATGAATGGACAAAACACGTTCAGATAGAGACTGGTGCTAAGAAAAAAAAAAACATGAGATCATGTGATGTGTCCAAGTGGCTGGGGGTACATACACTTCAGAATGGGAAAGCAGAGAGATGCGTTTGGATGAAAAGTAATACAAAACTCAATTACCGAGAGACTAGTTATACAGGATTTTTTCTTCATCTCTCTCCCGCTGACCATATTTTGCCATTTCACTAATTATGATTGTTCCATTAAAGTGTTGAAATGCTGGTCAATAAATGATTATTGAGATCCCACTGTGTTCTCAGCACCAGTACAATTGGAAATGTGGTTGAATTCAAACAACTAATTTTACTGCTGTGATAAAATATGAGGTGGGGATTGATGCGTAAGTCAGTACATAACTTAAGCCTCCTTGTTTTGAGGGGTGCCTTTGAGGCTAAGCCTCCCCAGTCCACTCGTATATCACATATCTGAGATTCGGCCATCAGAGTTCCAGAACTCCTCTAAGAGGAGGCATCATTTATTGCCACTAGATGGCACCAATTATTTTCATATTTTTAGGCCAAAAAAAGGCCTCTTTTTCTATATAATGGTCATATTTACAATGGAAGAATGTTATTTAGCACTATTATTAATGAAAGTATTGCTCTTTTATTAATAATTTTCTTATAGGAGGGATCACAGCAATAGGATTAAAGATGGTATGTTCATTCACTCACATACTTGTTTATTCAACGTATATTTGTTCCAAATAATCTTTTCTTAAATGTATTAGCAATGTCTTTGAAAATGTAAAAAGGAAAAAAAGGAATTGAATATATATAATAATTGAATATATATATCAGGATCAAAAATAGCTGATAGAAGTATATTATGATATTACATTTATCTTTAAAAGTTTTGCAGAAAATAGTTTTAATAAAATGCAGAATTATTTAGTTTTTAGAAGTATTTCCCATTGTGTCTCTCAAAAATAAGTAAAAACCACGATATTTATTATTGCAATTAAAGGTAAAAATTATTACAAAATAAAAATGGGATAGGATTTACTTAACTAAATGTATATTATTTAGTCATATTCTATGTAAAAATTTAATACATATAGCTTTATAAAATGTAATTAACAAAGCTTCATATCTAAAAAGACATGTTTTATATGATTTCCCTGTTTCTAAACAGCAATTTTACAGTGCAATTAAAACATATATAAAAGTTTTCTAAAAGAAAAGAACATGAAATATTCTCATTTTTCAAAACGGTGGTTGGTGAACATTTGAAGTATGTTTATTCAGAAACAAAATGGAACTAATCTTATATTTCCCATTAAAAACATAAAAATGGCTCTGGAATAAATATAATCTACACTTTTACATCAGTAAACTTCAAAATAAAATACAATGACAAAATGAGAGTGCACATAAATGCATTGAAAAATACAATACGCTGCATGAATATATAATAATTACTTAGAAGAAAAAATGAAAAGTTTCATGTTTGTTATACTGACATTTATTTTTAAAATCCAAACATCTTTGCTACTTCAGAATGAAAAATGAATGTCACAAACTAGCTGCTGATTTGACTATCACTATATTTCCTTCATTCTAAAACAATCCAAAAATAATACTCACTTTAATATCCGCCAAAGTTTTTTGCCTCATGGTAACAAGTGTTCTAAATCTCTGTTCTTCCTCATACAGTCTCTCCTCACAGTCTTTTTTCTCACTTGCGAGATGATCAAACACAGCTTGTGCGTGTTCCTTTTTGTATCTTATAGCTATAAGTTGGTCCCTATAAAGAAGGAATTGCATTTGCCACTAATCAATTCATATTTTGTTTTCTAAAATACTTTGATGATACATTTCGAAAGATCCGTTATGGAAAAAATCTTAAAACTGAAGGGCTTTAGAAAAATTCCCCAGTTCCTTCCATAGGCCTCCCTCCATATAACTACATCTAAATGATCCACGTGGAAGAAAATCTCTGGAGAAATTTTAGTGGATTTTCTTTGGTTGCCTACCCAGCATGCCTCTGTTTTGTTGTCATTCCCAAAGAACCCCTCCTCCACGCAGCAGGTGTCTCCAATGATATATTCTGATTCGACTAAGCCCACCAACACTTGGCGAATTGTCTGGGAGTGAACACATATATTAAGATAGCCCAATAAGATGAAAAGCAAGGACCTAATTCCATGTAAGAGAGGCACACATTCCACTAAATGTGAACAAGGAGTCATGTTTCCAAATTTGCTGACAACAGCCATACGGAGAGAGAAAGAAACGAGCATCTAGCGTTGAGCTGCTGAGTCAAACCAACCTGCAGCTCACCCTCCCCAAGGGCCTTCTGTTTTATAAGATGATACCTTTGCCTGTTGTTTAAGCTGGTGTGTGTGTGTGTGTGTGCGTGCATATGTATGTCTGTATTTTGTCATTTGCAACTAAGTACATCTTGACACAGAGGTAAAATGATTTTTATGGTGAAATCAGTAGTTATATAAGGCACAAAACTAGTAGAAAAAGCATCAAAAAGTCGTTAAAACAATATCACAAAAATAAATATGATTTAGAAATAATTCCCAAGGTTGATCAGCAACCTAGAATCCAGAATAAGCGGAGCTGCCAACGCGCAGCTCAGTCTTCTCTTACCCACCTTCGTTTTCATCTCTACTGGTATAGAAAATTGAATCATTTGCACAGCTAACTATAAAGGCAGCAGGACTAAAATTTCTGAGGGGCTAAAATGTTAAAGTGCTTTGAATATGATATCACATTTAATACAACAACAATCCTGTGAAAGAATAGTTATTATAGCAATTTAGAGACAAGGAACCTAAACTTCAGCATAATTAGCTTGCATAAGCTAACCAGTGAATGACAGAACCAGAATCGAAATCCAGTCCTGTCTGGCTCTGTTTGATTCAACAGCTCAACATTAAGTACTCATTTTTTCCTCTCTCTTCTCTACGGCTGTTATCAGTAAATTTGAAAACATCACTCTCTGCTAATATTTTTTAGATGTCAGCCTCTTCTTCTAAATGGAATAAGGTGCTTCCATTCCATCTCTCTCACCACTGTTTTTTCTACTTCATCATTCACACCAACAACACCCAAAATTCTTATGTGATGTTCATATAAGTGTTCACTAATATTGACATTGTGGAGCATAGGGAACCAGTGAAATTCCCACAGGGAGGAGCTGGTTTGACCAAAACCAAAAAACTCTCAATTGCTCCCAGAAAACATCACTGCCTCTGACCACATATACTTCGTTCTCTACACTAAGTGTTTTGAGACTGGATTATATTCAACATAGCATTTTATTAATTTTATATACACCCATTATAAATAACATATATTTATGTGTATATCTATGAATGAAAATAGTGTTTCCTTTCTCATAGTGATAAAAGGAACAAACTGTGAAGTCCTATGCATCTGGGTTTTAATCCTTTCACTTTCTAGTTAAGAAAACAGTCGCAAAAATTAAATGAGAGCCAATGGTAGCTCTGATTGGTTTTTTTTTATTTATTTATTTGAGGAAGATTAGCCCTGAGCTAACATCTGCTGCCAATCCTCCTTTTTGCTAAAGAAGACTGGCCTTGAGCTAACATCTGTGCCCATCTTCCTCTACTTTGTATGTGGGACGCCTGCCACAGCATAGCTTGATAAGTGGTGTGTAGGTCCACACCCAGGATCTGAACTGGTGAACCCTGGGCTGTCAAAGTGGAACATGAGAACTTAACTGCTGCGCCACCCGGCCGGCCCCTTGATTGCTATTATTTTTATCACCATATTTTAATTGTTCTACATGTGCAAAGTTTATCTTTCCAAAAACATCTTGAGACACTTGGAGGTACACAATCCCACTTGCCATTTCTTTGTCTTTCTTGGTGCCTGGCCGTAGGCACACTATGGGATCTCAATAAATAATGATTAAAGTGATATGGTCACCTATTGAAAACAGCAGTAGATTATTCCTAACACGGTTTGTCTGCAGTAATCTTCCTTTCCAAACCTAGTTTAGGGAGTCAGTATTCACAGTTGAAAGAGCATGCACTTTGGAACAGGGTGAACCTAAGCTGCACAGCTAATTAGCTGTGCAATCTTAAGACAATGATTTAATTTCCCTGAGCTTCTGTTTCTTCAGCATTCATATGGGAATGTTATTACATAATTTAAGAATCGGCTGTGAGAACTGGATGAGATTAAGTTACATAGATTACCTGCAAAGTGCCTGGCACATTAGGAAATCAATCAATGGTGGTTTTAAATAATACTTAACATTATCCATCATTGCTACTAATTAATAGATTTGTAAATAATAGATCAACGTCAGCTACACTTTTTCTCCTTTTCCTGTGGGAAGGCAGAGTTTTCTCCAGTTTAGAGAGGGAATTAATTCATTGGGACCTGGTGACCATGCTTGTATCAATATAATCTAGACACAGGATGGAAGAAAATATTAGGACTGAAATGGTAAGACTCCTGAAGAAAGAAAAAAGTTCATCTGGCTTGAATAAAATCTTTAGAAGTTTAATATAATTTACATAATTTTAGGATTATCCCTTTGAGCTCCAAAATAGTCTTACAGATATCAAACAATGCGGATAAACATCTTTCAAAGTAAAACATGTTTCCTTGCTTTCTTATCTGATACAGTGAATATGATTTAGTCTTTTCCAGATAAAGCTGTACTATCATTTTGAAAATAAGTTTTTACTCTATGGTAATAGCTAAACAAATCCTTGTTGAGTGCATTGACTTGACTCCATTAAGCTGTATGGTATTAGGCTGTGCATAACTATTTTTTCTGACACTTTATCCCTAAAGGGCTCTTAAAATTTTGATAAAATATATCTACTTACCTTAAACTGTCAAGTATCTGATCAAAATTTTCCTTTTCCTTTTCTTTTTCTTTTAACTCTTTATTCAATTGACTTATTTTGGCTTGATAAACACTTGTTTTACCTTTAGTAGTCTCTATTTCTCTAAAAATCATTGATATTCTTTCCTAAAAAAAAATTCAGGGATGTTTTATTTTAAATACTGGGATTTTCAAATCCTTTCAATTTAAGAACACAATTACGTTTGGCTGTGTAAACAATTAAAAGCAAATAGTAACCTCTTACCAATATAAGTAACAATTTAGGTTTATCTTCTCTTCTCCATTGTTACCTCAGCTCAGATTTTCTAAAAGATAGGTTAGAACTATGTAATGTCTCTCCCCCCACCTCTCTTCCTCTCTCTCTCCCTCTTTTCCTCTCTCCCTGGCACTAACTTGTCCCCACTCCCCCACACTTACACATACACGTTAAAGGTCCTTTCAAGATGCAAACATGTGATCACTGATTTTCAAACACGTACATTGAAGCTGAGCAAGGATATATATTGTTTTGATCTTTCAAACAAAAGAAATCAATATTTAATGCCAGCACAATTTCCCAAGGCTGGCCTGTGCAATTACAGATGGGAGATTTGATTTTGTGTGTATTTTTGCATCATCCCTTCATGACTATTGGTGTTTATACTGATTGGCTGATTACTGACTAGGTGACTGACTTACTGACTGTCCTTCCCACATCTGACATTGCTTCTAATTAGGGCTTCTCTCCCAACCGATCTCAACTGCTCCCTTTGCTCCTATTTTCCTCTGTTTTTCCCCACATGCTTCCTAATTCTTTCTCTACTCTGATAGATTTCAAGAAGAATGGCTAATCTTTCATATTCATTTTCCTATGAAAATCTGCTGTTTGTCCAAGATTTGGAACATTAGGTATGTATTTGAAATGTCATACCCCCCTGCTTCCTTCCTTTCTTTTTCAGGAAGTTCTGGAATTTTCCTACTGATAAGCAAATTAAAAATAAAAATGGGATTTAAAAAATTATTTCCAGTAGTCTACATAATATTTTTCTTTCTGCTATATTTTTTGTTATTGAATCTTGATATTACTTGATTGTGGTCAATAAAAGTAATCTCTATGGCTTGACCAGTGTAACGCCATGGTTAAGAGCATAGATTCTAGTGCCAGTGCTAGACATAGTGAATCTCAACTCCATCACTAACGAGCTGTGTAAAATAGAACAAGTTAATTAGAAAACAAGGCATCAGATTCCTCAACTGCAGAATGGAGATAATAATAGCAGATTCTTCATAGGGTTATCATGAAGATCATATGAGTTAATATGTCTGAGCACTTAGAACAATGCCTAGCATATATAAAATATGCAAAATATTAATATCTGTTGTTATTATTATAAACATTACTATTTTCCTCTGTAATTTTTTTTACATTTCTTTTCTGGCCTAGTATAGGGCAAACATTTTTTAAATGATACAATTACACCTCTATCTCATAATCTACATGCTGTTCACCAACAAATCTTATTGGTGCTACCTTTAAAATATATCTGGAAGATAGTAAGTTTAAGATAATGGACTATCTTCTCTTCTCCAGATCCAATGATTCTCTAAAGATAGAATGTTAGATGTGAAGATTTTCAGGGAGTAAATATATCTAATTTGGAAAAAGCTCTGAAGCCCTTTGATTTAGTATAGCCATTTGTCCATGCTGCCTATATGCCAATTTGAGGGTAAAATTTAGATGCCAGATATTAACAAATGTTTCAGGCTGTAGATTGGTCTCATCTGTAGAAACATGGTCTTTACCTAGTACACTACAAATCCCTACCTCTACTTTGTAGAAAGATAATGGGGGGGATACACCAGACCAGTGGGAAAGACACTATAAGAGAGAGAAAATGAAGACTCCGTGTGTATGTGCGTGTGCGTGTGCATGAGGAGGCAATTTAGTGCAACTAATTAGAAATGAGAGGCATCCACCTAAAATTAGATTTGCTTGAATAGTTTTCATTGAGATAAAGAGGTTGTAAATTCAAAGTTTTTTTTTTATATTAAATTTCTTACCTCAGTTTCTACTAGTGCATCATGGGTTTTCTTCCCCTTTCTTCGCAAGTTTTTCTTTGTTCTTTTCACCTTTGCTTTAATTTGTTCTTTCCTCTGAATTATATCATTTAAAGCCTAGAAGACATTCAGAAATTAAGACTGGTTTAGACCAAATTGTTCCCAAGTGACTATATATTTCGGTATAAAGGGAAAGGACCACCACACATAAACTACAAAAACATACTATGATATCCACAATCCCAATATTTAGTTTGAATTACTGAGAAAACCAAAATCTAGTCAATTTTAGCTAAGTAACAAAAACTAAAAAACTCACATAGGAATTATAAATTTTCATCATGATATTTAAAGTATTTTAACCAAAATTAAAATTCTGAATACAAATTGTCAGCAATCATTACAGAGAGTGTACAAAAACTTATTCTTTTCAAAAGTTTATGCTAAATTAATAGTTTTTATAATTTATAAACTATTAAAATATAATAAAAACAAAAATGATTACTAACGACAAGAAGATAAAAAACAATGGCTATTGTAAAATGAGGGGAATAAAAATCATCAATCTTTTCTGGAATTTATTATCACATTCAGATGATTATACTGAGGCTTTTGATTCAATTAATAAATTTCCATCATTAATGTGAGAAGGAGCCATTATTAAAATAATTTCTCTCATTAGGAGTTAGTACTGGTTATATATTCGTTACATGAGCTCTAGGGTAAGTATTTAGAAGCCCTCTGCGGAGTAGTAGACTCAGAATTTGTTGTATCTATGCTTTATGGCCTTGTACAAGTTGCTGTGTGCATTTAGGCCCAAGCTTGCTCAAGTCCACGATACAGATAAACTCTCGCTTGCCTATTCCATAGAGAGGCTTTAAAGATCAAAATACACTTTCATAATAGAAACACCTTGTAAATCACAAAGTTTTCTAAACAAAGAAATTTTGAAAATTATGAAAGACTAAGAATGTAAAGTGACATCATTATTTGCAAAGAAAAAATCCTGTTGCCAAAACGGTCCAAATGAAATACGTACACCCCCCCTGCAGCTGAAGACAAGAATGTACAGCTCTTACCACACCCTCCACTGCTCCAGAAGACTGAGGACGTGACGGATATGTATTTGTCTACTAAACTTTCCTTTGGGAAGGGCGAGTAATATCAGTTACTGCCATAAGCTTGTTGTTTTGAAAATATTTTATCAACATTTGCTATATTTTTCATCTTGTCTTAATTTCTTCTCCAGCCATCAAAAATTTACCATAAAAGTGCCAAGCTGCATTATAGTTTATATTTGAGTAAACATAGCGTTAGCATTTTATTAAAAGCAATGAAGACTTTGAATTAAATGTACAGTGGTGGGCAATCACATCAGATAAATCACCACTCGATCATTTGAAATGTGCTTTTCCTAAGTACATTCTAAGATAGAGTATGGGGTTTCAGGTAACAGCATTGATAGTCACGCTGTATAGTTTCACCGTAGATCAGGTATGTGGCCATGAAATAGTTACTTATTTTGTCCATGCTTTCATGGCTTCCTATGTGAAATCATAATTTTCCAAGTAATACTGTAAATTCGTATACATGATTTATCAACCCACATATTCCTGCCTATTAGCTTCTGGATTAATTATAAATGCTTACTTCAAAATGTTCTTTGTGGATAATTCTGAGCTTTTCAGCATCTTCTTCTAGTTGACGCATAGGTTTGTCTAATTCTGCCAGCGTTAGGGCATATACTGCTTTCTTTTTCAGAAGCTGCTGCTTCTCATTTATCTGATCTTCTTGAATGGAATACAGTTTTTTCTGCCAGGAAAAATTTTAAATAATTCATTCAGTTATTAATTACCTAAACGTTTACTGAGTCTCTCCCCTCTGCCAGGCAGTAATATTTGTTGTTACTTGAAAATAAAAAAAAAAAATGCCCCCATAAAAAGCAATAGGTAGAAATATAGCATATTTAAAGAGCACAGAGTTATTTTTAGAAAAAAATGAGATAAAAAATTTAATAGACAATAAAAATCAAACATTCATAAGTAAGCATTGGAAGATATTAAGGTTAGAAAACACACTAACAACAAATATTGATATACATGTAATTCCTGCAATCCAAGGGCAAATAAAACCAAAGAATGAGAAGTTAATAATAAAACATTAAGCAAAAGGGGCTAGAAGATTATGGAATTATTGAACATATATATGTAAATAGATAGAAATAAATTAGGAAATTTGGTATTTTCAAGCATATAGAAGCAGAGAAACACTGCTTTTATACGTTTGAAAATGTCAAATTTCCTACTAGAAGAAATCACAAAATTTGTGCTTGCTTCAAAGAGGATCTGAGTTGCAGATAATCTCAAACAATTTTTTAACAAAACTGTTTTGGACTGTTTCCCTCTTGATTTTATTCTTCTTATAATACTAATTTCAAATATTTATGTATGCCCAAAGAGGAGGCATTCTAGAAACATGCCAGTGATCAAAATATCCAACCTGGGTTCCAAAGGATATGAAGGTGGTAGATAAAGGGTTAAAAAATTAAAATTGATTTTGTTACCTATAGTGCTTTAATTTCAAAATCTTTATATAGAAATATAATATATTTTTCTTTCATAATTAAAGAGAGAAATTCAATTGAAAGATACTAAAAGTAAAGAAAACATAAAATCATCACAAAGCAAACTAAAGAGACAGTTAGGAATAAGATCCCACTGCCTTTTTACTAGACTGGCAGAAATTCCCATTAAGCCACAAAATGAGATATGTGTATGGGAGGTCAGTTTCTTTATGCATGAACAGACACTGCTAGTCGTACACAGGGGGCAACCGTCATCAGCTAAGGAGAGAAAACTGCTGGCTTGCAGACCAAGTAGTGAAAAGATGCCTCATTACAGGCAAATTTAAAATGCTAAGTAAAATGCAAATTAAAGGAAGAATACAATATTGAAACCAAATTAGGATTACCTGAATCATCATCCCATTAGCCACTTCACCTCGAGTGAGTTTTTTCAAGAAGTCTTCTCTGCCCTATATGTTATCAAATATTTTTAAAAGGAAGTTTTATTTATAGAATATCAAAAAATATTTTTAAAGACAATTGCTAACACAAGATACACTTTACTTATGTCGTAGTAAAGAGTAAAATATTCATTATAAATTGAGTATTATAAAATTAGAAAAAAAAAGACCCTGATGTTATTTGAGACAAAGTTAGTAAGTTATACAAGACCAGGAAACAGACACAAGATTTCAGTTAGTACTTTAGAGACCTGAACTAAAATATCAAAGTAATCAAAAAGGAAAAATCAGACAGTCCTCAATTCCTCTTTTCAAAAACTAGTAGTTTGCTGTTAATATTACTTTCCAGAATGAACATACTTCAACTTTGAAAACAAGATAGACACAATTCAAGTCTGAAGTTTGCAAAATATGATCTGATTCTCCATTTGGCTAGAACAATTGTTTTTTTTCCTTTTAATCATTCCTTGAAAGTTAGAGGATAAAAATATGTAGAAAAATCTTCTTTCTGTTACTCGGATAAAGAATCTTAGACTCTTCTCAGTTGTACTTTAGTTCAAAAAGATTCTTGTGCTTTAGAATTATACCTTGGAATGCCTTATTTGAGAGAGGATCTGGCCTGGTTTTAAGCTGTTTTCTATATTCAAAAGAGATGCATAGCTTTGCAACTAGGGACAGTGGAGGTTCAGAAACGTCTCTATATCCATTCCTCATTACTGAATCCCTCATCATATCCCAGGGTCTACAGAGACAATACGAAAAAACAAGTCGGTAAGTCTCTCCTACAACTCTTCCTTTTCTTGATATAGTGACTCATCAAAATTTTGCTCTCCTAAAGTATAACTCCAAAGAAGGAAATAGAAAGATCATAAGGAAAGCAATAACTTTAATATATCAGTTCACGTAAGGATATACCTACACCTAAAACCAATTTACACAATAATATATTTTGATAATTTAAAAGAAATTAGTTGCTTCTTCTAACATGATAACATACACAGTGGTTCCATCAGTTTGTTGAATGTTTAATAAAAAGGGAATCAAATTAACAATGCCCTTATGGACTGGAGAAAAATATATCATATTCCAAAATAGAGTGCTACATTTGAACTTTGTCTGAAACTAACTGAGAAATGTGTGTGTGTGTTTGTGTGCACTGAGGAGATGAGTTAAGGAATGTTAAGGTATGAAGCTGAAAAGATAAACTACGACCAGATTATCTAGGATTTTTAAGGAGCAGTAAGAAAATTAGTGAAGGATGTTAAACAAGGTGTGTGTTTTAGAAAGGTCATTCTGGTTATAATATGGATTGATTACTTGGTGTTTACTTAAAATTTATTCATTCATTCTTCAAAGTTTTTTTGTTTCTTTTATTTTTGTTTTTAAAGATTGGTCCTGAGCTAACATCTGTTGCCAATCTTTTTTTTCCCCTTCTTTTCCCCAAAGCCCCTCAGGACATAGTTGTATATTCTAGTTGTAGATCCTTCTAGTTCTGTGTGGGATCCTGCTTCAGCACGGATTGATGAGCGGTGCCATGTCCATGCCTAGGAGCCGAACCAGAGAAACCCTGGGCCGCGGAAGCCGACCGTGAGAACTTAACCACTCGGCAGGGGGCCGGTCCCTGTTTTTTTTTTTTTTTTTTTTATTGTCAACTATTTAGACAGCAATCCATTGTTTAAATGAATTCAAGTCCCTGATCTTAGATAAATTAATATTGTACAAAAACAACTTGTGGATGTAAGGCTAATAAAAACTTAAGCGGCATATGAGAAATTATGATAAAATAGACTAGGAGTCTGAAGCTGCAAGAGTAAAACAATTGGATTTCTTTGAAAAGAAGGGAAAGAGTCCCTTGAAATTTTGAAATTTGTATATTTATGCGAAACCAACTCAGCCTGTTATCAATAGGCGAATCTGCACTCTCCATGGGAAAAACGTCTAGAGCTTCACTCTTCGCCCCTTAGGGAACTCTTCTAAGCTGTTTTCTATCATGCCCCCAAACTTCCGTGACTCAGAGAGCAAGGTCAAATGACTGGTCCCCAGAAGGGAGGCTATTAATACCTATTAATGGCTGGGCTGCTACTTTTACACTTACAGTAGACACAAGGCCACAAGCAGTGTTTCCAGCTAGATGCTCAAGGCCTTCCTTCGTACTGTCCCCTTCCTGAAAGCATGATTGGTCCACCACAGCACTGGCAAAATGCTTGGAAATGGCCCAGTTCCTAGGAGAATTATTGAGCTACTAAGAGCTACAACACACCATAGAACACGCTAAAGACTGACATAAAGTGAACTCCAATGGTCACAGGTCTTAGGCCATGGACTGCAATATCTGAGTGAGGGGACTTATTGTCTTCCCCTCCTGTTGTAACAGGCACTGTTCTCCATAAAGCTGATTCCAAGGTGGGGTTTTGTGTGCAAGATCCTTATTAAGGAGTACACTTGGAATCAACTACTGTTGGAATCTAGAAGGGACAGTACGGGAAATAAGGAAGAGAATGGGAGAGGAAGGAAGCAAGATTTGGCAGAAACATAGGGTGAGTTGCAATCCACTCCCAACAACAATCTCAGTTAACTCCATGGGGAGTCCTCGAGCAAGAGTGGACCTTCAGCTTTGCTCCAAGTGAGACCAAGGTGGCAAGGCTATACTCCTATATTTATTAGTCATTGGATGTGAGCTTCCCCATGAAGGAGAAAGACTTTAAGCAAAGTGACTTAACTGATTCCTAAAGGGGAATCTGGGCAGTTATGTCCACCAAGCAACATAAATGTCATAATGATAAAACTATTGTTAGTCCTACTATTAATTATGGCTACCTGCCTACTATGTGGAATTATCTTATTTTAACTTCATAATAAAATCCATGAAATAATTATTATTGTCCACTTTTGCAAATGGGAAAACTGAGACAGAGAGATTATATAAATTGCTGAAACACAAAAAGCTAGCACATTTTGGAACCAGGCTGTTAATCCACAGAGTCTGAGAGCCGAGGGACTTTATGTCATTGATTTAGCATCTCAGTGACACCTGGATACCTAGGACCCTTCAATGCGAGGGAGATAGCCATTGTAGAGCCTTCTGACTCTTATGTGCCCCTGTCCACGCAAAGCTTCTCTGTCCATGAGGCTTTCCAGGCAACTGGATGTTGAATTCTGTAACTTAGCCTCATAAACGACAGGTTGAAAATGGAACTGAGACTCTGTGTTAAAGAGGCACCAATCTGGTAATGCTGCCATAGCTGGCTCTGAAACAGAATCTGCTGGGAAAGTTAGGAGCACCAGGGAGATGCTGCCTTTTAACTATACAATATAAATCACGTAGCTGCTAAGAACAGCCCCAGAATTAAATGGATATAAATTACAGTAAAATTAACACAAGAACTAGAGTGTGGTCTTCTTAGCAAAATATCAATTGCACTATCATTAGAAATGTTCAAGAAGAAAGACTGGAGTGGCCAGTTCCGTGGCCGAGTGGTTAAGTTCACGCGCTCTGCTTCCGTGGCCCAGGGTTTCATGGGTTCAGATCCTGGGCACAGACATGGCACCGCTCATCAGGCCATGCTGAGGTGGCACCCCACATAGCATAACCAGAGGCATTCACAACTAGAATATACAACTATGTACTGGGGGGCTTTGGGGAGAAGAGGAAGGAAAAAAAAAGATTTGCAACAGATGTTAGCTCAGGTGCCAACCTTTAAAAAGAAAAGAAAAGACTGGAGAATGACAAAGAGCTACAGTAGTTGCAAAAAGATTTCCTGATTTAATATAGGTACCACTTTTGAGAATTCCTGTATTCCTGGCAATTTTCTAGAATGTTTTACATAAACAGGCAGCCCTCATCTTGTAGAGTGCCATGCTAACTGAAACTCATGCATATCGGGACCATGCAAAATGAGGACACGGCTCAGATATGCACACATTTCAGTTAACTTGGTGCTGTGGGGAAGTGAGCGCTGCCTATTGTATACGTGCCTGTGTGCCTGTGTGTGTATTTAAGTTAATCAACGTATCCATTTAGTGACATAGCTACAATTATCCACATTCAAAGATGAGAAAACGAAGGTCATAGAAGTCATGGGATTTGTCACATGACTAACATTCAACAAGTATCAATACCCAGGACTGCTTGATACCATAGCCTGGACACATTCTACAGCACTTTGAAGTAAGCTCCCTCCTCTAACCCCAGCTTCCAGTACTGTCTGCACATAATATTTGTTGAATGAATAATTTACGGAATGAATGCATTGATGAATAACAAACAAATTGTTTTTGGTCCCTAGGTTGGGGAATTAAACTGCAAAATTTCAAATTCTTTCAAACTCAAAAATATGTTTTTTAAAAATGTCTTTATATAATGAGAAACGCAGTGTCTATTAAAATATCATAATCACACAGATTCTCATTCATAAATAGCATTTGGAGGATGGATAGTAAAACAAGGCCTACAAGCTGTTTTCCCTGAGATGTAGGGAAATGGGTGAAGTGGTAGGAAAGGCAGAGAGATAAGTACCTGAATAAGACCTGAAAGAAGACAGCCTTTGTCAGGAACGTGGCCTGCAGCACAACTTGTGCTAGGCTTTTCAGTTCTTCAAATTGTCAATTCTTTGTAAAGGGAATGAAAGCCCCCAAAACTTGCCATTTCACAACTGTGACAATAGTGGAAACAAAGACAGTTGCATATTCTTAAAATATTACTCAATTGAGTACTTATTAATTACAACAGGGAAATGGATAAGTCGGTTGGCCGCCATAATTTTAACTGAATGATCAAACTTATTATCACCAGTAATGACACAAACTTATACCATGCGCTTTGTGAAGTTTCGTTGACATAATATTATAACCATGTAATGTTCCTGCCAAAAGTTTAACCTGAACTTCAAGTTTAACCTGAATCTAATCATGAACAAACAAAAAGACAAATCCATGGGGTTGGCCCGGTGGCATAACGGTTAAGTTTGTGTGCTCTGCTTCGGCAGCCCAGGGTTTGCAGTTTCGCAGCC